CTGTGTATGTATGTGTGTGTTAGTATACACACATGTAATGGCTCAATGTGCTGTGAGGGCCCAGAAGCTAATGATATCCTAGTAGCACTGAGTACATCTAACACCCAAACCTTGGTTTCTAAACATCATTTCCCAATTAAAGGAACCAGGACTCTCTGGAGAAGTGGTTGATTCAAGGCTGCGGTAATAAAAACAAGATGAATCTGGAAGATGGTGGAGTAGGTAAACACTGCTTGCCTCCTCTCATGACCACATCAAAATTACAACTAAACTACAGAATAATCATCATTGAAAATCGCCTGAAGTCTAGCTGAACAAAAGTCCTATAATTAATGATATATAGAAGAAGCCACCTAAAGACTGGTAGGAGGGGTGGAGACACAGAATGGGCTGGTCCCGCTCCTGCGGATAGCCATTAAAAACTGGAAGAGATATTTTGGCAGCAGAGCTCCCCTAAGAGGAGCGACGGGTCCCAGCCCCACACCAGACTTCCCAGCCCAGGGTTCCAGCTCCAGGAAGAGAAGGCCTCACGAAATCTAGATATGAAAATCAGCGGAGATTTTGGCTGAGTGAAAGGGAGGGCTGCGGGAGTCCCAGGCATTCCTCTTAAAGGGCCTACACGTGGACTCACCCGCTGATGGACTCACTCTGGGCTCTAGCACTGGGGCAGCAGCTAAAAGACACCAGGGATATACGGGGAGGAACTGAGTTGTCTGGCTTCAGAACAAGGGCTGGAAGGGAAGCTTTCTCCGAGACAGAAATACTGGGAGAAGCCACTGTTTCTTTGTTGAGCCCTCACCCCCCAACCCAGTGTGCAGACACAGGTGGCCACCATATCTGTCTTCATCGACTTGTCTAACACTGGTCGCCCTGCCCTGGTGTTTCCCTGCAAGCCTAACCAAGCCACTTTTAAGGACTTCTCCATACAAATGGCCTGTCTTGGCTCATGCTATGGACTTTCCTAAAGTCTCTCAAAGTTTCACAAAACCCAAACGGGCAGAATCTGGCCTCGGCCTGGCTAAGCAGCCTCAAATCTGGCACTAGCAGCATCCAGCCTCAGTTCATGGCTTGGCCTCTCAAGGCACATCCAAGCCCAGTGTGGGTGGCAGCCATCTAAGGATTGCTTGGTGGATCTTGCCAGGTCACCCCAGGCAGGGTACAGGCTGCAGCTGAACTTGGCCTGCAGCAAAGCCCCTCCAAGGAGACCCCGACCTGCAGACCCAGTGGCTGGCTTCAGTCTGAGCTGGAGTACAACCCAAGGTCACATCTGAGAATGATACACCCAAAGGGCAGACTGGGCAGGCACCAGAGCCCTACTAAAGTGAATCCTGCATTGTAGGGTCAGCCCCTGTACAACAGCTCCTCCACTATAGTCACAGGCCAACCTCACAACTAATCAGCCCAAGGGGCAATCCCTCTAGCTGACATGCAAATAGCAACCAAGGGCCAACTACAACAGGAAGGCACACACAACCCATACAAGGGACACACCTGGAGCACCCAGCTCAGGTGACCAGGGAGACCATGTCACTGGGCTCCAAAGGACACCCACTTACTACATAAAGCCACTCTACTAAGACTGGGAGACATAGCAGCCCTCCCTAATACATAGAAACAAACACAGGGAGGCAGCCAAAATGGGGAGACTAAGAAATATGTTCCAAATGAAAGAACAGAAAAAAGCCCCAGAAAAAGAGCTCAACAAAATGGAGACAAGCAATCTATCAGATGCAGAGTTCAAAATGCTAGTTATAAGTATGCTCAATGAACTTAGGGGGAGAGAAGATGAACTCAATGGGGACTTTAACAGAAATAGAAAACATATAAATGGAGATAGGAAACATAAAGAATACAGTCAGAAATGAAGACTACAATGACTTAAATGAGAAATCAACAGGAGATTAGAAAAGCAGAGGATCAAATCAGCAATTTGGAAGGTAAAGTAGCAGAAAACACCCAATCAGAATAGCAACAAGAAAAAAGAATCTTATAATCTTAAAAGAATCTTATGAGGGTAATTTAAGGGGCCTCTGGGACAACATCAAGTGTAACAAAATTCGCATCATAGGGATATAAGACGGAGGGGAGAGAGAGCAAGGAATTGAAAAACCTATTTGAAGAAATAATGATGGGCATAGACATACAAGCCCAGGAAGCGCAGAGAATCCCAAACAAGATGAACCCAAAGAGGCCCGCACCAAGACAGGTCATAATTAAAATGCCAAATGTTAATGACAAAGGAAGAATCTTAAAGGCAGTGAGAGAAAAGCAGTTTAGTTACTTGCAAGGGAGCTCCCATAAGACTGTCTGCTGATTTCTCAACAGAAATCTTGCAGACCAGAAGAAGTTGGCAAAAAATATTCAAAGTGATGAAAAGCAAAGACCGACAATGATGATTCGTCTATCCAGCAAAGCTATCATTTAGAATCAAAGGACAGATAAAGAGCTTACCAGACAAGAATAAAGCTAGAGGAGATCATCAGCACCAAGCCAGTATTACAGGAAATGGTAGAGGGACTTCTTGAAGAAGAAAAAAGGAAAAAAGATAAAAAATATGAATAATAAAATTGCGATAACTACATATCTATTAACAATGAGTTTTAACTTAAATGGATTAAATGCTCCAATCTAAAGATAGGGTGGCTGAATGGACAAGAAAACAAAACCCTTACATATGCTGCCTACAAAGACTCACTTCTGATCGAAAGACACACACAGATTGAAAGTAAAGGGATGGAAAAGATGTTTCATGAAAACGGAAACAAACAAAAAGGCTGGGGTAGCAAACAAACAAAAGGCTATAACAAGAGACAAAGAAGGACCCAGTAATTCCACTTCTGGGTATTTACCTGAAGAAACCCATAATGCTGCAGTGAATCCATATGTTCATTGCAGCATTATTTACAATAGTTAAGATATGGAAGCAACCTGGGTATCCATCAGTGGATCAATAGATAAAAAAGAGATGGTACACATATACAATGGAAGATTACTCCGCCATAAAAAAGAATGAAGTCTTGCCATCTGCAACATAGATGGACTTAGAGGGTATCGTGCTGAGTAAGTCAGATAGAGAAAGACAAATGCTATATGATTTCACTTATATGTGGAATCTAAAGAACAAAATACACAAAACAAATGCAAACTCATAGATACAGAAAACATTTTGATGGTTGCCAGATGGGAGGGGAGTTAAAGAGGTGGGTAAAAATGGAGAAGGAACTAAGAATACAAATTAATAGTTACAAAATAGTCATGGGGATGTAAAGTATAGCATAAGGAATATAGTCGATAATATTGTAATAACTATATATGGTATCAGATGGGTACTAGATTATTGGTGTGCACTTTGTAAGTTATGAATCACTATGTTGTATCCCTGAAACAAATATAATATTGTATGCCAACTGTAATTGAAAAATAAAAATATATTTAAAAAAAATATGAATCCGGACACCTGGAACCACGAATGAAGGAAGGATGTGCTCACAACATGGATGGGGGCATGTCAAAATGTCAAAGAAACCAACCTGAAGATCTCAACGGTCAAAGTTGGAACAAATTGAGCAACAAAATAATGATTCATTGGATTTACCTCAGAGAAAAAATAAAAATCCATGGTTCCATAAACACAAAGAAATAATTGAATATACAACTAAATGGGAGTGAAGGAACAGCTCTTCCCTACAGAATGATCCTAATTAATATACATAAAGAAAAGAAGAAAATGGAAAAATTAACATTAGGTCAAGACCACGGTAATAACTGCTGCAGATAAGATCTAATAAGCCAATGGATGCTAAAATTAGTGGACAAAAGTTTTAGAAGATACTGAATAGTCTCAAAGTATCTCCTACAAAATACTTATTAATTACAAATAGAAAAACAGTATCCTTACAATGTAAAAACAAGGCAGACACCACCTTCACCAAATCATCAAAGTTAACATCATGAGACTCATCAACATTATGAATCCCTTGGTATGATGCCCTGAGAAGACACAACATTATTTCTGTGGCACTCCTTTCAAAATGCATTACCTCAATCTAATCATAAGAAAACATCAGATAAACCCACATTCAGTGGAAGCAGATATAATGAGCCATTTGTCCAGAGTAAATCATATCTGAAGACTCTGGGAATTTCTCCCAGAAGATGAAATTAACAGATTACCTAAGTGTCTGAATGTCTTAAGAGACAGATAATTGATGAGGAGTTGGAAATTGAGTAAGGAATATGTATGTAAAAAGTTAAGCAAAAAACAAACAAACAAACAAAAAAACCCTAGTAATTATTAACTATAGGCAAAATAAAAAGTTGTACAGAAAAAATAATCTTGGTATCTGCACAGCATTGCTATGACAATCACTTAATGAAAGTTACTATCAAAGTTATACATGCACATTGTTTAAAGAGTCAAGTAGTTTTAAAAGGCTTATTCTTTAAAAAAAAAAAAAAAAAAAGGCAGTCTCTTGCCTTGTTTCCCAGTTTCCTTCTCTCTAAAGGGATCCACTTTCTTATCTTTTGCAGTTTCTTCTGGTGTTTCCTTCATGTCTCTAATAATTATTTTTATGTTGCCATTTCTTGTTTTTTTTCTAGTTTAGTCTTTATCCAATATTTTCTCACCCAAAAAATTAGAATTTAGTATTTGTTTATACTGAATCCAAAACAATATTCACAAATAACACTGATAGTAACTTTCATAAAAATAAAAACTCTAAAAAGAAATCTATAAATGTATATAATTCTGACTATAAATAGGAAAGAAGAGCTGGGAAGGACTGGGATTCTAGGTATAGGTAGAAGTACTATAGAGAGTACAATTTGATAGAAATAGGAAGGAAAAAAAACAAGGTATGAAGTTTCTAGGGAAGTAAATGCTAAACAGATTTCAGTTTCCTTCGGAAACCAGGGAAGCCTCAAGTGCAGGGCAGCCTGCTCGTGATCACTTGGGTTGGCACCTTATAATAGCCCTCCCCGCCCAGTTCCCCATTACTCACTTGTATATTGACCATCTGACATCTCTCTTTCCACCATCCAAGGTTCCTTCCCTTGCTCCAATAAGAAGATTATGTTGGGCTTAGAAATGGAGAGTCCTGTTTACAGAAGAAAAATGAGAGCAAGAGAGACAAAGAGAATATGCTATAGCTGTTCCAGCACTCATACTCAATCTCTTGGTTATTAGGCAAGAAAGTACATTAGAGGAAGGGCTAGAGAATAGAATGATGCTTATATGAAAGATGAGGAAGATGTAGCTTCTTCCATAGCAATGGTTCTCAAACTGCTAGAACAGAAGCACCATCACCTAGGGACCTACTAGAAATGCATATTCTCAGGCCCCAACTCAGATGTACTGAATCAGATATACCACAGAGGTTCTAAAACTTTCATGGGCATCAGAATAATTTGGAGGGGTCACTGAAACCCAGACTGCAGGGCCTATTTCCAGAGTTTCTGATTCTGAATGGTCTAGAGTGAGATCCCATAATTTGCAATTTAACAAATTCCCATACCATACTGATGCTGCTATTCCAAACCACAATTCTACAGCAAAGGGAGCTATTCATTTCTAACTCTACAAAACTACTTCAAATCATTTTCTGGGAACAGGAAATAGAAATTCAGCTAAGCGCTTCAGATAGTCCCAATGGAGGAAGCAAAAACACCCAAAGGAAAGATTTTGAATAATGGGGAAGAGACATCCTTACCAAGCCATACCAAGTTCCTGTAGTTCTCCAACATGACATCTCTGTATAAATCCTTCTGAGATGGGTCTAGCCATTCCCACTCTTCTTGGGAAAAATCTAGAGCCACATCCCTAAAGGTCACCAACCCCTAAAATTAAAAATTAAAAATTTATTTGCCAAGTGCTCCATATAGTCCCAGAAAAAAAGGAAGGAAAAGGAAAAGGAAAAGGAAAAGGAAAGGAAAGGAAAGGAAAGGAAAGGAAAGGAAAGGAAAGGAAGAAAGGAAGGAAGAAAGAAGGAAGAAAGGAAGGAATTCTATCAGAGTTCCAATCTCTAAGTGGTCCAAGGAAAATAATTATTGGGGAACAAGTACATGCCCAGGTTTGTCAAATATTTTGAGAGAAAAAGAGAACTATCAGAAACAGACTTACTCATTGAAAATTATGCATTTTTTGAAATGAAAGAGAAAGGGCATATACACAGGAAAAAAATTAGCTTATAGCATGAACCGAGTTTTATGACATGAGAGTACATGAACAAAGGCTAAATTTTATGTTACATCTATTAAGCATCAAGACATTCTTATAGGGAGAATTCCTTTATATTACCCAAACAGGAATATCAGATGGCTCAGAGTAGTGAAGGAAGGTCTTGAATTAGGCTTTAACAATAGGTCTAAAATTCAGACTTTATATGTAAGGAGAAACTTCCAGGAGTGTCTCTTGAAGAAATAATGAAATGTATGTGAAGAAATTTAGATTGAATTTTCACTGGAACATTATATAAAAAAATCTGGAAAAAATGTACATGTCCAAGTAAGAGTTTGAGCTATACTATAAGCTATATTAGGGGAAGGACATATGTTTTATAAGCTCATGTATATCCAGTGTCTATTACAAAACCTGTCACATTATAAACACTCAGGAAATATTTGCCACTTAATGAATAAATGGTGAAGTCTCCGATAATACATCCATATGAAGAGTACTCAATGCTTAAAAATGACAGAGTTCCATTTTGCAGAGAATGGCCTCATTTTGTATAAAAAAATAATAAAATATCAAATATAGTTATCCTACAAAGTAAGAATAGATGAATGTGGCTATAGAAAGAAAAAACACAACTACATAGTATTGTATAAATTCTGTGTGCCCCTCTACACTTCTCTGTGTCATGGGAGACTCCCTTTTCCCATTCCATTTTCAGTTGGGTTAATCCAACATGCAAGACATGGGAGGGAGGAAAGTGAGGTACAAGATTTATTCTCCTGGCTCCCTCCTCGCAGCAATGCCCACTGTGGTCTCTGTCCTTCAGTCAAAGGTCACAGTGGCTGTCAGGGGCCCTCTCTGCTCAAATATCTCTATCCCTGGGTTCAAGCCTACACTCAGTAAAGGAGCTCTGTTGTTATGAGCCCCAAGCTATAGCACTATCTCTTTGTAGCGTCTCTATATACTTGTAAATAGTTCCCTTTTGAAAGGTTTCTTGCCAGAACCCAGACTGATAAACATGTTGATCCAATGTACTTCTAGGATATGACCAGAGATCCCACCAAAAGCACCGCTAAGCAACTCTACTCCACTTCCTTAGTAAATTCACTCTCTCACTCCCCGACTATTTCATACTTTCTATCTCCCAAATCACCACCAACACCTCTCTGTTCTTGCTTTGAAATTCTTCATCCTCTAGCCCACCATATGTATTTATTGACCTGATTCTGTGCTCATTTTTCTGACTTCTCTCTGTTACTACAGATAAAACTCTTGGCTTCCTATCTAAGACCAATCCTTCCATTGTCCATACAAGAACACTATTACCCTCTCCCTTGTAAACATCAGGGAGATATCTATCACCAGTATTTTCTCACTTTATTGGAATATTCCTATCAGTATATAAGCTGATGCAATATCTTCTATCGTATAAATAAATTCCCTTCATGACTTCATTCTAGCTATTGTCCCATTTTTCTACTCCTCTTAATAACAAAACTCTTTCAAAGAGTTGTTTAGATCAGTGATGTCTAACAGAAATACAATGTGAGCCACATATATGTGAACTTTTTCATTAAAAAAATGCACATAAATTTAGTAAAATTTTTATTTAATCCAATATATCTAAAATGTCATTTCATCTTGCAATCGATATAAAATTATTAATACTTTATATTCTTTTTGGTATTGAATCTTCAAAATTTGGTATGTATTTTATACACATAGCGCATCTCAATTCATAGTCATATGTGGCTACTGGGTACATTATTGGACAGCACAGGTTTCGACTGACTCTAATCTCACTTTTTTTGCTTCTATTCTCTCTTGAATCTACTGCAATGATGCTTTCATCCCAACCACTCTATAAAGTAGCTCTTCTCAAGGGTATCAATAGCTTCCATGTTACCAAATCCAGTGTCCAGTTCTTGGTTTTCATCGTCTTCAATCTCTCTCAAAAGGATTTAACTCAGTAGATTATCACCTCCTTGAAAGATTTTCTACTCTTGACTTCCAGGACTCATACTCTTCTGGTTTTCCTTCCATATCAGTCTTTTCAGTCTCTTTTGCTGGTTCTTTCTCTTGTCAGTCTCTAAATGATGAATGCCCTAAAGTTGGTCCTTTAACTTCTTTCCTATCTACATTCACCGCAACCCTACCTTCAAGATAATCTCATTTTGTCCTCTGGCTTTAAATACACTATTGACTCTCAAATTCACATCTCCAGTCCTGAACTCCAGATATATAATCAATATTCCACTTAGATATCCAACAAATCTCTCAAACTTATTATAACTGGAACTCAATTCTTGATTTCTATCTCATCCCACCTAGTCTTTCCATCTCAGTAAATGGCATGACCATTTACACAGTTGCCCAGATCAAAAATCTCTGTAGTCATTCATCATGTCTTTCTTCCTCTCATATTTCACAACCGATCCCTAATCAAGTCTCTTATTTTCTATCTCCTATATATATCCTGAATCTCATCAGCTCCAATGCCACCACCAAGGTCCAGGCAGCTATCACCTCCCACCTGGATTACTGCTGTAGTCTCCTGGATGACTCCCCTGCTTCTACCCTTACTTCTCTTTTCCTTTTAAAACATAAATCAAACATATCACAAACATTCCAATGGTTCTCTTCCTCCCTTAGAACAAAACTCAAAGTTCTGATCATGACTTTCAAGGGCTTACATAATTTGTTCCCTACCTACTCCTCTGACTTCACAGTGCTCATTTGCCTCCAAGGATACTGGCTCAGTGTTAGTCCCATAACACATCAAACATGCTTCCACCATAGTAACTTCATACTTCCTATTGCTTCTACTTTTAAAGTTCTTCCCTAGATCTCCACAAACCTTCCTACTTTCACAGAGGTATTTCTTTGCTTAAATGTCACTTCCTCAGAGAGGCCTCCTTGACATATTTAATAAGGCACTTAATAATCACACTCTATCCTTTGTTTCACTTGTATTCATCTCCAACACAAAAAAATCATGATCCATCTAAAGAGAAGAGTTCTATTTCATCATAAATTTGAGCACAATACTGGGTAAAAGAGATACTAAATGTTTTTTTTTTAAGGATTATATGAACAAATGGTGGCAATAGAAAAGTAGAAAGAGTGCTTACTGGGCTATTTGTGACTCTCTCCGTAGTCTAAAGTCCTGAATATTGAAGTGGAATTTCTGGAAACAAAGCGAAAACATCAACTTACCTGGGACATGGACTTACAAAGTCCAACAGCCATTCCTCCTTCCTTCTTCAATTTTCTCTCTTAGAAAATAAAGTCCTGTGAAGGCAGAGTTAAGGAAGAAAAAAATAGCACACCAGCCCTATGTTGCTGATCTGAGACTTACACAGATAGAACTATTGCCCTTTTATGGTCCCCCTAGCCTCAGGCCTACTCCTTTCCAAGATCTGAGAAAAAGGCCAAAGCTGATCTTAACCCTTTAAGTCTTGAATGATATTAAGGACACATAGCCTGAACTCAACATAAGCTAAAGTCCATCCTATGGCCAACAAGGCAGTTTATAATCTGGCCCTGGCTGCCCCACATACCTCATTTCCTACCCTTCTCACTCCTGTTCACCCCACTCTAGGCACAAAGGTTTCCTTACAGTTCCTCAAACACTGCATACACTCCTTCTTCAAGGCTATTGTCTTTGCTTTTCCTTCTGCCTGGACATGGCTCACTCCCACTCTTCATCCTTATCTGTGCTCAGTTGCCACCACATAAGAGGAGCTTCCTTGAAAATTCTATCTAAAGAAAACCTCCCTTCCTTATCCAGTTTCTTTTTCCTTATCCAGATTTACTTTCTTCTTAGCTTTTATCACCATTGAGTATGTTACTTATTTTTTTCTGTTTTCTGTTATCTTCCCAATCAATAGTTGTCTTCTCAATCTAAGAGAGCTAGGATTTTGGGGTTCACTGGTGCTAGAATGCCAGAATCACGATAGGTGCTCAAAAACTATTTGATAAATGAATAAATCTTACTGTGCCTCAAAACCACAAAGGCACGTGCTACTATCCCCATGTTACCAACAAATGAAACTGAAGTTCAAAAAGCTTAAACAACTAACTCAAAGTCCTAAGAGTCGAACTGCAATGTGACTCAAAAACTGGTCCTTTTTCAACAGATCACAGTCTTAATGAAAAATATTCAACATAACATGAAGAATCAATGCCATATATTTCTTAGAGAAGCATCTTCAGAGAAGGCAAATGTTACCATTATTCTTCTTCAGAAATGCAGCCTGAGGCAAATATTGTAAAATTTTAACACTAAACCAGTAACAAACTCTACTGCCTCACAAATGTTTCTTGTCCTCTCAGAGCCAACATTTCTTCATTCTGAAAACAAGGATAGTTGTTTTGACCTGGAATTTAGGAGACATGACTCCCAATCTGTTCTACTCTGCACTAGCCAATTTAGGCTTTAATAAAGTTATTTCCTTAGGGCAATGTAGCTTGAAATTGTCCATAAATGCTTTTGCACGGAGAGGAGAATAGAAGTCTTTTTCTTGTCCTCTCAGAGCCAACATTTCTTCATTCTGAAAACAAGGATAGTTGTTTTGACCTGGAATTTAGGAGACATGACTCCCAATCTGTTCTACTCTGCACTAGCCAATTTAGGCTTTAATAAAGTTATTTCCTTAGGGCAATGTAGCTTGAAATTGTCCATAAATGCTTTTGCTCGGAGAGGAGAATAGAAGTCTTATCAGCATCTGGGAGCCCTAAGTAGCATCTGCATAAAAAAAAAAGTCTTTTAAATTTGTTTGCAAATAGCTGTGTATCCCTTGGGTAATATTTTCCAAGTTTGAAATGAGCCATCAGTCTCTGATAGAAGGTAGTGTTAGACTTGATTGAGCTTTACACAGCCCCCAAGCAAAGGCTGACTCTCCACTCCTTCACTCACTTGTTTACATGACCTTGGGCAAGTTAATCCATCTCTCAGAACCTTTATTTCTGTCAAAATTGCATGAGCCAACTCCTGGCATAAAGAAGTGTCACCCTTGTTCCTTCTTAGATTCTACACATATTTGGAAAGAAAATGAAAACATTTTTATTAACTGAGAAAATCAGAACGAAAAATTTAGCTCACTTGGTACATCAGAAAAAGAGCCATGGATTGGCCTCTCTCGACACCAAATATGGAAGAGTTTGACAAAGAAAATGCTAAAATCTCCAATTCTGCAGCCTAAGGAGAGGAAGACTGGGCTTTCGGGTGGGGCTTTCCTCCTCCATAGGAAGCCAATTTGAGGATGGTCTCATTACCAAGTCTTCAGACCGGGTCCTGTGACTCACTTGGGGACTGAAGGAAGAGACCCAGATTGTTACCATATCCCAAAGGTACCTAGTCCAAGACCATGGACAATCCTCTCCAACACCCTCAAAACCCAGGCCCCCCATTTTTCACTTTAGTAATTAAAAACAAGGGCTCTGGAGCCAAACTGCCTGGGTTCAAATCCTAGTTCTGTCACTTAACTGTGTGAACTTGGGCAAGTAATTTTAATCTTCCTGTGCCTCACAATCACACACTAGGTCACACGTACACAAAATTCTTACCCAGTCACACTCAAATACATGGTTGCACAATCACATCCATGTCACACACATACACAGTCGTATTAAAAGTAGAGATGATGATATACAATTACTCCAACAGAGAGACAGTCGCATAAAATCTCACACACTTATACACCACACAAGGTCACACATCCTGTCACAATTACTCATACAAAATTATACCTGCAGAGATAGAAGGGCGTGGGTACACAATCACACCTGCTGTCACACAGTTACATCCACAAGAGGCAAGTAAGTGGTCTAACATAATCACAAACACACAGATTCACGAAGCGACACACAATGTCACACTCGCAGTCTCTCACAAACCCATACAATAATAACATACCTGCAGACAGTGACACACAAACACACAGTTTTATACCAGGGACAGGGAGTCACAATCGTGCACAACTACACACAAACACACACACGGTGACACACAAGAATCACATGCTGTCACATCCGTAGCCTCTTATACGTGGTAACACAGTCTCCCCAACGACGCCTGCCTGACCATTCTACCCTAAGCCGATCCCTGACCGCTGGCTCTAGCGCCCAGCCAGGCCTAACTCACCCCCGGGTGCCGCGGGCTCCGAAGACCCGCCCAGCGACCTGACCTGTGACGTCGCCTCCCAGAAACCCCAGCGGGGCGGACAGGGGCGGGGACTGAGGCGCGCGGCATCCCGAGCTCTGTTGGGGGAACATCCAGCTGCAGGGTCCTGGACGAGCTACTCAGCTTTTCCTTTCGACTCCGCGAACCACCAGCCCCAGAAGGCTTTGCGCCGCGGCTTTCCCAGAGGGCCCGCAAGGCTCGCTTTGGTGTTAGCATTACAAGCAGCCGCGGCCTTAGGAGCAGGTACCGGGAGAGCTACGTGCGACCCTGGGCGATCCTAGTCACTCAAATGACCTTGAGCGACTGTGAGGAAATGGTGAAGCGGTGCGCATTCGTAACCGTATGCTTAGGTGTGGCGGTTTGTGTGTGACTGTCGCTGCACACTTTGGGCTTGCGCACCAGGGACGACGGGTTCTGTCAGTGCAGTGAGTTTCTGTATTTTAAATCACGTCCTGTGATTGGAGGTCGTTGTGTGACAGATTGTGGATCTGTCGCGCAGAGAATGTGAGAGTGGTTGTGGGTGTGTGAGCGAGACTGCGGCTGACTTCGGGCGTGACCGTTTCTGTAACTGTTGTTATCCCAGAGGTCTCAAGAGTTTACCTGTGACATGCAGTGAAACTTTGTTTCTAGTCTTGCCTTTAGGGTTGAGACCGTGGGAGAAGTCTTTGTGTGTGTGTGTGTGTGTGTGTGTGTGTGTGTGTGTGTGTCTGCCTCCAGACTAAGTGTTCTCCCTCACTCACCTCATCCTCACCCATCCCCAACTCCAGCCATGGGCCAGGTCACTGTTATCTTCTTTTTTATATCCTTTCTGTACTTGCACCTGATGTGATGTAGGCACAGAAGGGCAATTGGATTCCATTTGTAGTAAGATGTTCATTTGCACCAAGACCATTTATAATGTAGCCAGTAGCTCTGGATTTTCCCTTGCTGCTCCTTACACCTTTTCGCTTTACAACTTCAATTAGGGCCCAGATTTAAGAAAACTGCCCACAGTCAGGAGGACAGATGTGAGTCCCTAAGTGATGTTAGAGAAAACCAGAGCTGAACAGTAGATGAAGTGATTAAAATAAATAAAGAGATTTTATTCAGGAACTATTTCAGTTAGGGAAGAGAGACTTCATATAGAACTGGGCCCAATTCCAAACGCAACAAAAACAAATGGGAATTTATAGGCAAGGAGCAGGTGTGTGTGGGGGGCGGGGCATGTCAGTAGATGGAAAATTATTAAGAAGAGACATCAGGGGGGAATTCTTGCTAGACTGACCAACAAGATTCTTGCTGAGGGGAGGCCAGGATGATCATAAACCACCTGAGTGGATAAGAAATTTAATTAGATATTGTGATCACATATTCAGAACTCCGGCTAAACCGACTTGACAGAATTCTTGCTAAAACAGGGTGATGCAAAGGCAAACACTGAAGCTAAAAGGTTAAAGGCAGGTTGGGAAGAGTGTTCAGAGGAGCCCAGCTAAAGTTTGGTCAAGAAGAGTCTTTGCCAGTGACAGTTCCGAACAACGCAGCATTCTTCCCCATCCCAATCTCTGGAAGATCTGGAAAGTGCACCCAAGTCAAGATCTTGGTAAACAGGGATATGTGGAAGCAAGGGGGAAGTTCTTGAAACAAGAACCCATCCTTGGAGAGTAATCTCTCCAATCCCCTCCCCACAAAGAGCCCTCTGGCTGAAGCCAGAGTCATGGACAAAGAGAGTCTGGCTACTAGGGCTGAACTGATTTTCTTTTTTACTCTGTGAAATTGGGCATTGTTACTTTCAGAAGAAAGCAAGCAATTGTTTTTTTAAGGCTCTACAAACGTTTTATAGTTGGTTTGCTTTATGGGAAAATTTACCAGTTAAATATTATTTGGATGATAATTATGCTTTGGTAATGACAAACATATTAAACAGCTCTTCCCTGGACTTGATTATCATGCAGGTTAGAGATCATCTTAGGCATTTCATACTAAAATGCTAAAAATTTAAGATATTCCATTCTTGACTGGCAAGGTTTACCTTCAGAGAAACTTTATATATGTACAACTATCTCTTCATATGTCAATAATTGATCATAGGAAGACTTTTTGTCCTTTATTTATTTTTCTTATCTGAGACCACCAAATTCAACACTGGTTTGACTCAGTCATGTCCAGTAGAGTAGGGCATTGGTCTTCAAAGTATGCCCACTAAGTAAGTAGTTATACTGCAAAAAAGAAAAGAGGTAGGACTGTCCATCAGAGCCAAGAAAGCAGAACTACACTGGGAATTTCAAACAGGAGACTAATTACAGGAAGTTAATTACATAATATTGAAGGAATGAAACAGAAAAAGGAGGATACTTCAGGAAGCAGCTAAATGCCCTGGAGCTTGGAGAAAAAGGGTAGGAGGTGGGTTTACTAGAATCTAAGATCTCTGAAGAATCTTGGGCTGGCTATTAATGGGGCTAGGTGGTCTAGTGCTGGTAAAACAGAGTCTGCAGGCCAGCTGTAGCCCTCTGTTGCTAGAGAGATGCTGAAAAACTGGAAAATAGAAGCAAGTTTTTTCTCCCTTCCTGCCTTCCAATTTCCCTTTAATTCCTCCTTTGGCAAACTAAAACAGTATGCCAGCTAGCAAGGGAGACTGCAAAATACCTTTGTCAGAGTGCCAGACCAAGCATCACAGAATAAAAGCATACTTGGAGCTGAAACAATGACAGGGAAACGATCACCACACAATCCTTTTTGTTTTTTAATAGGTTTATAGGATATTTTCCATTTACTTTTTTTTTGTATTTACGTTGTACAATTCAATGAGATTTTTTTTTTCAGTTATAGTCAGCATGCAATAATATACCAGTTTCAGTTGTATAGCATAGTGATCAGAGATCCACATAACTTACAAAGTGATCACCCCACTAAATCTAGTACCCTTCTTCTCCCTAACATATTTATTACATTATTAACCATCTTTCCCAGGCTACACTCTACATCTCCATGTCTATTCTGCCACTATCCATTTGTACCTCTTAATCCCTTTGCCTCTTTTTGTCTTCCCATTCACCCTCCCACGTAGTATCCCTAAAAATATTCTCTGTATCTATGAGTTTATTTCTGCTTTTGTTGTTGTTGTTGATTTTGTTCTTTAGATTCCACATGTACGTGAAATCATGCAATATTGGTCTTTATTTGACCCATTTCATTCAGCGTAATACCTTCTAGGTCCATCAAAGCAATACCTTTTTTCATTCCCTCCTTTTAGTCTGTGTGTCTTTTAATCTGAAGTGAGTCTCTTGTGGGCAGCAAAAGTAGGGGTCTTGTTTTCTTATCCATTCAGCCACTCACTCTGTCTTTTGGTTGGAGCACTTAATTCTTTTCCATTTGAGGTACTTTTTGATGGGAATGTAGTTATTACCATTCTTTATTCCTGTTTTTGATACATGTTTTTTCTTCTTAAAAAAGTCCCTCCAACATTTTCTGTAATACTGGCTTGGTGATGATAAATTCCCTTAGCTTATTTTTGTCTGGGAAGCTCTTTATCTGTCCTTCAACTCTCAATGATAGCTTTGCTCAGGATGGGAGACCACCTAGGAATACCAGGTGCTGTAGGCATTAAAAAAAAAAAATTATATATATCTAAGGTAAATGACAGCTTTGCTGGATAAAATATTCTTGGTTGTATATTCTGGGTCTTCATCATGTTGAATATTTTGTGCCAGGCCCCTCTGTCCTGCATAGTTTCTTTTGAGAAATCAGCTGCCAGTCTATGGGTGCTCCCTTGTAGGTAAGTAACTGCTTTTCTCTTGCTGCTTTTAAGATTCTCTCTTTGTATTTAACCTTGGACATTTTAATTATGATGGGTCTTGGTTTAGGCCTCTTTGGGTTCTTGGTTTTGAGGACTCTCTGAGCTTCTTGGAGTTTTATGTCTATTTCCTTTACCAGGTTAGGAAAGTTTTCCATCATTATTTCTTCAAATAGCTCTTCGACATCTTGTTTTCTTTCCAGTAGCATATGACATGGATATTTTTACATTTAATAGTGTCCCATAGGCTCTTTAAATTGTTTTTACAGTCTTGGCTTCTTTTTTCTTGCTATTCCGATGGAGTGTCCTTGGCTTTCCCATTCTTTATATAGGTCATTTGATTCTCTTCTTTATTCATTCTGTTTGTTCCATTTAATATACTTCTCATCTCAGATAATGTGTTCTTCATTTCTGACTGGTTCCCTTTTATAATTTCCATTTCCATTTTTGTGTTTTTTATCTCTTTGTCAAAGTTCTCACTGAATTCATTTACACTTCCCCTAAGTTCATGGAGTATCTTTATAACCAGTGTTTTGAAGTCTGCATCTGTTAGATTGCTTGACTCCAGTATTTCTGGGTCTCTGTTTTCTTTCATATGGTTTCTGCTTCTTTGTCCTCCCATTTTGGCTGCCTTTCTGTGTCTGTTTCTACGTACTAAGCAGTACTCTTAAGTCTCCCGGTCTCATTTGTGTGGCTTTCTGAAGTAGGTGTCCAGTGGCACAGTCCTGAGAGGGGTTCAGCTACAAGCCAAGTTTAGCCCCAGCCTGTTAAGATTCAACAAGCAATCCACAGATGCTGTGCCTACAGTTGCCTCAAAAGGCCACGCCAGAAACCGAGGCCAGCTGCCACCAGTGTGAGTCTAGGCACTGCTCAGCAAGGAGCACCTGACTAAGCAAGGACACACCTAGATGTGTCTTAGGTGGGTCCACAAGTTGGGGGAGGTGGAGTTTCAGTAAATCCTCTGGGCAAAGCAACCTGTGTTATCCAGTTTGATGATGTCTCTGCAATGGTGGCACTCAGTCTTCGCACTAGGAGGGGGGAGTGCTCAACAGGGAACAATGGATACCGCCGGCACTACTGTACTGAGCAAGTCTCGCCTCAGCCCTCACTCTGACAACTCAGTGTCCCCCTGTAAGTCCTGGCGCCCACTGCCCAGCCACTGGTGCTCAGAGCAAGCAGGTCTGTCACTGTGAAAGTCCGCTCGCGGACACAGCCCCTTTAAGAGGTGTCTGCCACTGCCAGTGTGATGGCCTCTGTCCCACTCAGCCGCTGGAAACAGGGTAGCCCCGTGTCCTCGCTCTGTCCTACCTTTTGCTGTTGCAGGGTGATTTCTTAGGTTTCTCCCTAGTTGTATGGCTTGTTTATCTAGATCCCAGGTGATTTTCCTTGCTGTTTGCTCTTTGTTTCTGTCACAACTTTGATTTGGTCGCCAGAGGGATGGACAGAGTCTCTATCATCTATGCCATTTTTTTTTCTCTCCAGCACACAGCCTTCTTAAATTTGCTGGAAAGTAAATTCTTATACTTTTCCAAGTTCTTTTTTTCTTCCCCAAAACTTTTCTTCACAATGTTACCATGTTCTTATAAAAAATGACAAAAAATGGTGCATATCTAGTAATGGTATCTTAATAACAAAGCAATACAAATTCTGAAATAACTTAATATGGAGTACTAATCTAGTTTAATATGGAGTTACTTGGATGAATTCATATTGTTACCTATTCTGTTGTAATTTATATGATATATGTTTTCCCAACTTTGTTACTATCTAATGTAAATATTTCATGGTGAACTACTTATTGCCCCCATGACTTCATGGTGTGAGTCATGGTATTTAATAAACTATTATGTACATTAGTTATTTTTTTTTAATTGAAGTAGAGTTGACATATAACATTATATTAATTTTAGGTATACAACATAATGATTAAATATTTGAATATATTGCAAAATGACCACCACAATAAGTCTAGTTAACATCTATCATCATACAGTTATAAAAATTTTTTTTCTTATGATGAGAACACTTTAACAACATTTAAATGTGTAATACAGTATTATTAACTATAGTCAGCATGCTGTACCTTATATCCCCAGGACTTATTTCTTTTATAACTTGAAGTTTGTACCTTTTGACCCCCTTCATTTTTTCCACACCCTCACCTCACCCCTGGCAACCATCAGTCT